TGGTACGGTGTGCTGTCGTAACGCCCATCATGACCCATTGCTGGCGTCAAGAGGCCACAGCGTGCGGGTCTTCACAGCCCATCACGACCCTCTCAGATGCTTCCCCGAGACCATTGATGGTACGGTGTGCTGTCGTAACGCCCATCATGACCCATTGCTGGCGTCAAGAGGCCACAGCGTGCGGGTCTTCGCAGTCCATCATGACCCGAACAGATGCTTCCCGGAGACCATTGATGGTACGATATGCTGTTGAATCTCTTGAATCATAGGTTTGAACTTGTGTGGGATTATCACGTTCCCTTTCACAGCTGCTCATGACCCCAACAGATGGTTCCCAGGGACCATCGCCTTACTCTCTGTCTGATTGCTCTCAGCTATTGCATTCCTTGTTCCTCAGTAGAGGCAGTTGTAACCTATTGCGCAAAGACATTCTGAGCATAGCAACAGGGCATGCCATCAAGCCGTTGTGACTCAAATTTGCTCACCCTTTTGGCTTCTCGAATCGGCTACTAACGCAACACAATTCCCACCGCCTACAATCCCCTCTTCAACAGGCACCTTCCCTGTGCACGTGCATGGAAGTTTCCTCCCCCGCCACATCGCCGGCCGATTTCACGCAGTCTGCGCCTACCTCAGGTGCCTCTGGGCGGCTCTCTGCATCGTCATCTCTGTGTGGCTCCGGTGGATCCCAGCCGTTGATGCGATCATCACAGATCAAGTCTCAGCCGTCCATCCCATTCTCAGACTGCTGCCTGCCAAGGTGGGTTCCCTTCCAATCCCTTTGAACTTACTCTTACGCTTTCCTTAACCATTTGGTTTTTGAGAATTCTCAAAAACCAGCTCCTTTACCATTCTCTTTACCCTTCCCCTCCACCCTCCCCTTTCCCGTTCCCCTCCCCTTCCCCTTCACAATCCTACCTGCACTGTGCTCGTTCCATTTCATGCTTGCCGGCCCAGCCATGCCTGTCCAATGTTCTTCTTCACCACTTATTACACGCCTCCGTGCGACATTTTTCACTGGCGTTTAAATTAAAATATTCCAAAACTCACTTCCTCTGCGCTTCTTCCATCTCCCTGTGTAACAGACCTTTCTTGCTGTTACCCTCTTCTAAAAACAAAACGCATTGTCATGCGTTCCCACTATCCTGTGCATCCCCCATGCCTATCCCTCCATAACAGATCCTATTCTACTGTCACTTCCTGGACCTGCAGCAGGCCCAGCGAGGTTATTCTTGTGTTACTTGTGGGAGCTCTCAAAATTAACACAAACGTCCAACACCCCTACCCTACCCCCATTTACAGATCCTCTTCTACTGTCACTTCCCTGACCTGCTGCTGGCCTAGCGAGGCTCTGCTTGTGTTACTTGGAAGAATACTCAATAGCAACACAAGCGTACCCCACCCGTTCCCCCCATAACAGATCCTCTTCTACTGTCACTTCCCGGACCTGCTGCTGGCTCAGCGAGGCTCGTGGCTGCGCTCGCTGTACCGAGCGCCCATTGACTGGGTGGAGCAGGTCACCACTGGTGCGTGCTGTTGGCATGTGTTGATCACTCAATGGTGTGTGCTCATGCCGTCAGGCAATAATGTTGATCCCTCACTGTGTGCTCGCTGTACCGAGCTCCCGTTGACTGGGTGGAGCAGATCACCACTGGTGCGTGCAGGATGGTGTTTCTGGTGGCATGTGTGTATGCTAATGTTGATCTCTCACTGTGTGCTCGCTGTACCGAGCGCCCATTGACTGGGTCGAGCAGGTCACCACCTAAGTTGGAAAAAACGCAAGTTTGACGTTGCGTATTGAGTTTATACGCATCTAAAATTCGTACGCTGCGTATTTTTCTAAAATTCGCCAAATTTCTCTCGGGCTGACCGGGAAAAAAAAATCAGTTGTGTTCGCGAGTATCGGAATTCAGATTTGAGATCGCGAATTGCAAATGCAACCTCAGATCTGAATTTCGAAACCGTTTGGTGAATCGTCCCCTCCTATCAACCGCTCAACAACCCATTCCAACCACATCGATTACCTATGCCTTCCAATTTTGTTGCCAACTTCAACCAGACTCATCCTCCCCGCTCAATGTCAGGTCGTTTTTCCCTTCGATCCCCTTCTAATTTCACTTGCGACGATAACCTACTACAGCAGCTCCCGTTCCCGTCTCTTGACCTAGCATCTTAACCTGCCCGGGAGAAGAATTTAGCTGCCCGGGCAAGCGTTTTTCTGTGCGTACCAGACCCCCTCCGGCCAGCGTACTGCGTATAAACTCTAGCGTTTATACGGAAAGCGTACTAAACGCGAAACGCGTTTTTTCCAACATAGGTCACCACTGGTGCGTGCTGTTGGTTGGCATGACTTTATCAGTGGTGTGGGCTCTTTCTTACCCTGCGGCAATAGTGTTTACCACTCACTCGAATGTGCTCAACCCCACCCTGCAGGCATGGTGGACACCATAGTGGTCAACAGTCACTTCACTGCAGCCACATTGGAGTCACTTTTGTGAATTCTCAAAGTCTCTCCTCTCTTCTCTCTCCTCTCTTCTCTCTCCTCTCTCCTCTCTCCTCTCTTCTCTCTTCTCTCTGCTCTTTTCTCTCTTCTCTCCATCGCCTCTGTATCCCTGCAGGCATGGCGGACACCATAGTGGTGAACAGTCACTTCACTGCAGCCACATTCGCCTCCACCTTCCCCTCGCTAGCATCACATGGCATCCGCCCCGCTGTGCTCTACCCGGCTGTAGCATTTGATTCCCCACCGCCTGCCTCGTCTTCCAACACTGCCACCACTGCCAACGCTGCTATCGATGCTACTGCTGCTAGCAGGGGTGGTTCTGGCACCCTCAGTCCTGCTGTGGGCGAAGCAGAGAAGCTTGGCCTAGATCTCAGCAGGTGATTTTTGGAGGGCAATTGAGACGGATTGAGCTGAGTGGGCTGGATGGGATGGCGTGCACATAATCTCGCATGCTAAACTTGCTTCCGTTAGAAAGCTTTTTGTTCTTGGACCTCTCAAAGCATCACTGCCATTCCCTGCCCTTCTTGTTCCCCTTTTTTCCTTCAAACATTAACCCTAATCTCCCCCCACTACACTCCCCTCCACCATGCTCAACCCCCTCCTCTCCCCCCTCCCTCCCTTAGCCCCTTCTTCCTCTCCATCAACCGCTACAAGCGCAAGAAGGAATTTCCTGCGCGCAGGCCCTGACCAGGATTCACTCGTCTCTCCCCCTTCTAATCTCCCCCCTCTCCCCTTCCCTCCCCCAGCCCCTTCTTCCTCTCCATCAACCGCTACGAGCGCAAAAAGGAGATCACCACTGCGGTCTCTGCTCTGGGTCTGCTCACCCGCTCGTCAGGGCACACAGGCACTCCCGGCAGCCAAGGTGCTACTGTTGCCGCTTTGGCAAAGGGGCAGCGGCCTCGGCTTGTTGTGGCAGGTGAGCTGTTCATGGTGCTGAGGCAAACGGGGAGGACTCTATTGATGAGCGAACAATCTGGATGCGTGAAGCTACCTCTCACAATGACATGTCACAACTGCTCCACTGTCTTAACTTAACCAGATGACATCACCAACCCTTGAGCTTTCCTCCATCCGTCCCCTCCTCCTCTCTGCCATTCACCGATTTTTCCCATCGTCCCTCCTCGTCCATCTCTCTATGATTCAGGTGGGTGTGACGCTCGCGTACGGGAGAATGTGGAGTATCTCCAAGAGCTGAAACAACTAGCTGTTATGGAAGGGGTGGCATCGGACGTCCTTTTCCTCACCTCCATCAGCGACTCCCTCAAGGCTCAGCTGCTGTCCCACTGCACTGCTGTGGTCTACACCCCTCCAGTGAGTGCTACCCATACGACCTTCTTATTACATGATTTCTTTCACATCCTTTTTCTTGGTTTCTTGTTTGTTGGTCTGGTTTCGTTTGCCATGAATCGTTTATGCCATACTGTCGTGTGCGATTGACTTAACCCTACTTCCATTTCGCAGAACGAGCATTTCGGCATAGTGTCATTGGAAGCAATGGCAGCAAGCAAGCCAGTGGTGGCATGCAACAGTGGAGGACCCACAGAGAGCATACTGGACGGCGCAACAGGCTTCCTATGCGGTCCAAACCCAACAGCCTTTGCTGTGCTGTATTGACCCCCCCCCCCCCCCCCCCCCCTTCCCTTCCCTCCTCTTCCCTCCCCACCTTCTGTCCCCCCCCCCAATCCCGCCCCTGCTTCCCCTTCCACACTCTCCCCCTCTTCCCCTCAGAACGAGCATTTTGGCATAGTGCCATTGGAAGCAATGGCAGCAAGCAAGCCAGTCGTGGCATGCAACAGTGGAGGCCCCACAGAGAGCATACTCGATGGTGCTACAGGCTTCCTCTGTGCTCCAAACCCCTCATCTTTTGCTGCTGCACTGGCTACACTCTGGGCCGATCCTTCTCGGGCAGCTTCCATGGGTCGGGTTGCCCAAGTGCATGTTGAGGAACAGTTTTCAAGAAACGTTTTTGGTGACCAGTTGCAAGAGATTCTTTGGAACATGTGCTTATAAGGGGCGTGTTCCTACGGCCCCTTATCAGGCAAACTCTTATCAGACTCACTCTGCATCAGACTGAAATTCACGTAAACTCCAAGACCCTTTCACATTCTATAAGGCAAGTCTGATAAGGAGTTGCCTGATAGGGGAGCCGCAGGATACGAACACGCCCTACAGTACCGTAACTTGTTACAGAAATGGCCTAATGGCATGGATGGCAAAAAAGATGACTTTGGAAACTTCTATCAAGCACAACGCAGCTGATATGTTTAAGGGCATGTTCCTACGCTCTTATCAGGCAAACCTCTTGTCAGCCTTGCCTGGTAAAAGTAGCGAGGGTTTTTAGGTTTATGAAAATTTCAGTTTGTTTTGACGCGAGCTTGATAAGAGGTTGGCCTGATAAGGGGCCGTAGGAACATGCCCTAAGGTCCAATCATTCCCCCATGTTGTGCATTTCACAACCTCAAAAGACCCATAGCCATAAGACGGGAAAAAACCTGCCTTAACTTCCCCCCTCCCACCCGTGCACGGCCTGGAACATCCCCTGGGCCAACTCATCCCTCTCGGCCACGGCAGCAGGGGACTCCTCATCGGCTCGCCTGGCGGGCACGTAGTCATCAAACGCCTCATACGCCCAGTCCGGGTCAAACGCCTCTCCCTTCTGCTCCAGAAAGTTGTGCAGCGCACAGCACGCCCCCACCAACCGCGGCAGCTCATGCAGCTTCCCCTCAGCTCGCCGAAGCAGGATCCGCCACCGTCCCTTCAGCCGGCCAATCGCGTCCTTCCCCACCGCAGTGCCCTTCTCTATGCACTCATTGAACGTGGTCTGATACCACGTGGCGCTCTCTGATTGGGCGTACGGAACCAGCAGCCAATCCAGAAGCGGGTACGACCGCAACCCGATGACCTTTGCCCCCTGAAGCTCTCCAGCTTGTCCTTTCTGGTGGAGGGTCGACTGCTGCAAAACCTGCTCGTCAGAAAGCGCGCCGGGCAGCCCGATGCAAAGATCGATAAACTGCCCGTTGGCATCAACGACTGCTTGCGTGGAAAGGGAGTAAGATTCCCGGGCGAGACGTTCGGTAAGCTGCCTGTTGTGGTATTTTACCATGTTGGAGCGCGGCGTATTGATACACAGGTGTGTTGTGTAGAGAGTCCCAATCAGCTGCCCGTTCCCCAGCTGCTGTACCACAGAAGAAGCGCCATCCACCCCGCACAGCTTCAGGAACTTAGAAGAAATTTCAGCTGCCCGGGTGCTGCCCGGCTCAGGCCATACGACCACCTTGGGCAGAATAACATCGTTCAGCACCTTGAGAATATCATTCCCCACGAAATGCACCGTGGTCCGGCTGAGATTAAACCTCCTGGAAACCAGATGGAGAGGCTCGGCCGTGGCAAGCCTCCAGATCGCCGCTCCGATCCTGATGTCCAAGAGGTTCGGGTTTTTTCTCGGCTTTTTCCCAAGAAGCGGCCCCAGCATGCCACAGAGCTCCATGAACGTCTCCCGGCTCATCCTAAACTTTTTCCGGAACAATTCCGGAGGGTTATTCGGGTCAATACACTCCTCCCACCACGCGCGTGACCGCGGCCGCGTGATCAGCGTTCGATAAAACACCTGATGCTGCGACAGCGTGGCGCCAGCTGACATGCCGGCCATGCAGACTCGTCTCAGCCGTTGGATCTCCCGCTGATGGACGGCATCGTTGTGAGCGATGTCTCGGAGGAGATTGAGCTCAATAGATCTCACGAGGGAGTGATGGCGATGCAGGTATTCGGAGCGAACCACTCGAAGGCGCTGCAGGAAGCAGGAGGTTTCGTTGGCAGCACGCTGCTCTTCCAGTAGGAGCAGGAGAACGAGGGAAATGGCATCCTCGTTTGGAGCGTTCTTGATACAGGTTAAGAGATGTTGGAATTCGGATTCAGAGCAGAGGAGAGGCGAGGGAGTCGTGGGGATGGATGGGCGAAGCAGGGCGGCATTATTTCTCCCATTCACTGCATCGCCTTCTATTCCCCCCTCTCCTTCACCTTCTCGCTCCTTAGTTTTCCCTCCCTTTTTCCTCTTTCCCAACCCTCCCTCACTCCCTTCCTCCTCCTCACCCTCCTCGTCCTCCTCGTCCTCCTCCTCCCTTTCATCAACCTCAACTCCCTCCTCTCCTTCCGTCAAGTGTAAGTCCATCAGCCGTCTCTTTCTGCTCTCTCTTCCACCAAACACCCCACCAGCCTCCCCATCTACTTCCAGCCCATCCCCTCTCTCCTTTCTCTGCCTCTCCCCATTCTCCTCCTCCCTCTCCTCCGCTCCCTCCACCCCCACCCGAGCCACTTCAACAACGTCCAGATCAAAAGCGTCTGCTCCGTCCGCTGCCAAGCCTGCGACTGCCGAACCTACAAGCTCCAAGCCTGCTACTGCCGAGCTAAGACCTCCCTTGCTGGCAAACCCTTGCAGCTCGTGCTGCTGCTCCTCTTCCTCATACTCTTCCTCACCCTCGTACTCCTCTTCTTCTTCCTCCTCCTCTTCCTCCTCTTCCAACTCCACCACTTCCTCTTCGTGCTGCTGCTGCTGCTGCTCTTGCCGCTGGTTGTAGAGTGAACGTTGCTGCACCTCCTGCTGCTGATGCTGTTCCTGTTCTCCCGGCTGTCGCTGCTGCTCCTGCACCTGCTGCTGGTTGTAGTATGAACGTTGCTGCGCCTCCTGTGGCTGCTGCTCCTGTGGCTGCTGCTGCTGCTGCTGCTGCTGCTGCTGCTGCTGCTGCTGCTGCTGCTGCTGCTGCTGCTGCTGCTGCAGGAACTCGAGGAAAGACGGCTGATCAAGCTGCTCCTGCTGCTGCTGCTGTTCTTGCTGCTGTTCCATTTGCAACTGCTCTCGTGTCTGTTGCTGCTGCGGCTGCTGCTGTTCCAAGAAGTCAAGGAAATACGGCTGATCTAGCTGTTGCTGCTGCTGCTGCTGCACCTCCTGCTGTTCCATCTGCAACTGCCCTTGAGCCTGTTGCTGCCGGTAGACCTGCTGCTGCTGGTACGGTTCTGGCCGCTCATACTGATCGTACCTTTGCTGTTGCTGCAGCTGCTGCTGCTGCTGCTGCTGCTGCTGCTGCTGCTGCTGCTGCTGCTGCTGCTGCTGCTGCTGCTGCTGCTGCTGCTGCTGCTGCTGCTGCTGCTGCTGCTGCTGCTGCTGCTGCTGCTGCTGCTGCTGCTGCTGCTGCTGCTGCTGCTGCTGCTGCTGCTGCTGCTGCTGCTGCTGCTGCTGCTGCTGCTGCTGCTGCTGCTGCTGCTGCTGCTGCTGCTGCTGCTGCTGCTGCTGCTGCTGCTGCTGCTGCTGCTGCTGCTGCTGCTGCTGCTGCTGCTGCTGCTGCTGCTGCTGCTGCTGCTGCTGCTGCTGCTGTTGCTGCCGCTGCTGCTCCTGCTGCTGCCACTTTGATTGGATAATTTGCTGTTGTTGCACCATGTACTGAAGAAATTGCTCTGGACCCGACGCTACTGGCGCCTGCTGCTGCTGCTGCTGCTGCTGCTGCTGCTGCTGCTGCTGGTCCTGCTGCTGCCACTTTGATTGAATATTTTGCTGTTGCACCATGTACTGAAGCAATTGCTCTGGATGCAATATTGGCGCCTGCTGCTGCTGCTGCGGCTGCTGCCGCTGTTGCTGCTGATGCTGCTGGAATTGCTGCGGCTGAAGGCGAGACCGCTGCAAGGGTGCCTGGCGATCGAACTGCTCATACACGTCCTGCGACATTTGCTGCGACGCTTGCTGCCCCACTGCGGACAACAGCTGCGATTCAAGCAGCGCGAACTCAAGCGCAGCTGCCGGCGACGGCGCGGAAGGCGCGGAAGGCGCAGGAGGCGCGGAACGCGCAGAATGCGCGTAAGGCGCGGAAGGCACCGGAACCTGCACGTCATTGCGCAGAAAGGGCTGCGCGGCAGTAGCAGAACGGTTCGCGGGGGGACCAGCGGCTGCGCCGAAAGCGGAAGCATTCGGTGGAGTGAAGTGAGTGGGGAGGAAGTGGGAGATGGAAACAGCGGCGGAGGCGGAAGCGGGGGAAGCGCCGGCAATGCCGCTGGTGGGAGCGGGCCAGGGAGCGGAGAAATCGTCGCTTGCTTCGAGAGGTTGTGGGTCGAATGGAAATGCACCTCCACGGTTGTTGCGATGATGACGACCAAAGGAGTTACCGTCCATCGTTAATGACTAACGAATATCCCTTTACAATGAGCACTGACTGAAAAATTCCTTACAATGACAACCGACTAAGGTACCCTTACAGTCATCACTGACTAATTTCCCTTACAATTATCACAAGCTACGCTGTCGCGTCGCGTAGAAGTAGAAGCACTTGCAGCTCCTAGCAATGCCTAGAGAGTAGCGTCAGAAAAGCATGCCTTATAAACGCGAAAGTTGGACAGTAGTTGTTTCAGACGCGACACGGCTGGGGAATATGCCGCATCATCCAACCACGAAGCGTCACACTGATGCTACGCTTCAGAAATCACGGCCTGACTCGTGCGTTGGTTCGCATTTGAAAGTAGGTTCAAGTTTGAACTTTCAAAATCAAATACTGAACGGGAACACATTAGGAACCGATACCGCCATGGCCTGAACGATGGTGAAAGCAAATGGAAACCCTAGGGGCGTGGTACATCTTGGCCTTGTTGTGACCTTGGGACTGTCGTCCTGAAGCTGGCCCTTGCCTCGAATCTGGTTCGGACCAGCTGGTGTTCAAGCTCCACCTAACCTCCTCAACCTACGGTTTGAGCCTAGGT